CGACCAAAAAAAAAGTTGGTCACAGAAAGTATACCCTTTGGCGACCAAAAAAAAAAGTTGGTCACAGAAAGTATATTATTGGCGATCAAAGGCTTTTTTGGTCGCGGAAGATTACCCTTTGGCGACCAAAAAAAAAGTTGATCGTGGAAAGTATACTATTGGTGACCAAAGGCTTTTTTGGTCGGGGAAGATCACCTTTTGGCGACCAAAAAAAAAGTTGGTCGCGGAAAGTATACTATTGGCGACCAAGGCTTTTTTGGTCGCGGAAGATCACCTTTTGGCGACCAAAAAATAAGTTAGTCGCGGATGACTTAACTATTGGTTACCAACTACAAATTTGGTCTCGGAAGATCACCTTTTGGCGACCAAAAAAAAAGTTGGTCGCGGAAAGTATACTATTGGCGACCAAGGCTTTTTTGGTCGCGGAAGATCACCTTTTGGCGACCAAAAAATAAGTTAGTCGCGGATGACTTAACTATTGGTTACCAACTACAAATTTGGTCTCGGAAGATCACCTTTTGGCGACCAAAAAAAAAGTTGGTCGCGGAAAGTATACTATTGGCGACCAAGGCTTTTTTGGTCGCGGAAGATCACCTTTTGGCGACCAAAAAATAAGTTAGTCGCGGATGACTTAACTATTGGTTACCAACTACAAATTTGGTCTCGGAAGATCACCTTTTGGCGACCAAAAAAAAAGTTGGTCGCGGAAAGTATACTATTGGCGACCAAGGCTTTTTTGGTCGCGGAAGATCACCTTTTGGCGACCAAAAAATAAGTTAGTCGCGGATGACTTAACTATTGGTTACCAACTACAAATTTGGTCTCGGAAGATCACCTTTTGGCGACCAAAAAAAAAGTTGGTCGCGGAAAGTATACTATTGGCGACCAAGGCTTTTTTGGTCGCGGAAGATCACCTTTTGGCGACCAAAAAATAAGTTAGTCGCGGATGACTTAACTATTGGTTACCAACTACAAATTTGGTCTCGGAAGATCACCTTTTGGCGACCAAAAAAAAAGTTGGTCGCGGAAAGTATACTATTGGCGACCAAGGCTTTTTTGGTCGCGGAAGATCACCTTTTGGCGACCAAAAAAAAGGTTGGTCACGGAAAGTATACTCTTTGGCGACTAAAAAAAAAAGTTGGTCGCGGAAAGTATACTATTGGCGACCAAAGGCTTTTTTGGTCGCGGAAGATTACCCTTTGGCGACCAAAAATAAAAGTTGGTCGCGGAAAGTATGTTATTGGCGACCAAAGGCTTTTTTGGTCACGGAAGATCACCTTTTGGCGAACAAAAAAAAAAGTTGGTCGCGAAAAGTATACTATTGGCGACCAGAGGCTTTTTTTGTCGCGGAATATTACCCCTTGGTGACCAAAAAAAAAAGTTGGTCGCGGAAAGTTATGGCGGGATAAATTTTTTAAAAAATGATACTACAGTAATTACATGCTATTTTTCTATTTAGGCATTAAAAGTTTTATAAAATAATATATAACCCAATTTTTATGGGTTATATATTTTTTTTGCCAAATATGAACAAGAAGTATGTTATTGGTAGAGTGGTAGAGTGGATTGGGTGCATGGTGACTCTTTGGTCAGGAGTTCAAGTCTCAGGGAGCACAAAAGAATTATTTTTTTTGGGTCAAGGCGCTGACTTTTGGCGACCAACTTATCTTTGGTCGCTAAAAGTTTACTTTTGGCTAATATGAATTGGACTTTCCGCGACCAAAAAAGTTGGTCGCGAATGGTCACTTTTAGCGACCAAAGGCTTTTTTAGTCGCAGAAAACTATCTGTGACGAGGCTTTAGCGACCAACTCGCGACCAACATATTTTGGTCGCGAAAAGGCTTTAGCGACCAAATATGGTACATTTCGCGACCTACTGCGATTAGTCACGGAAAGTGTTTTTTCTTGTAGTAACCGTTGGCCATTGTGGTATTAGGAGGACTTCTAGCAAACAAACACAAGATAGAGGAGTGGAAAGAGGTGAGTAAAAACATTCGTCATTACCTAAACAAGAAGGGTAAAGGCAGCCATGGAGGGGTTCCAATATCAGACATTTTAGCTTTAAGTTACCAAGACTTGTCGTACCATCTCAAGGCATGCTTTTTGTCTTCGAGCCATCTTCCTGAAGATTATAAGATATGTCCAGAAAAATTAGTTTAAATGTGGATGACTGAAGGCATTGTGTCATCATCATCAGTACCACCAGCACAAGTAGGAGAAATGAAGGTAGAAGAGACAATGTTGGATGCTGGAACGAGTTATTTAAGTGAGCTAGCACAGAGATGCATGGTTCAAGTCCAATTAACGAGATTCAGTAGAAGGCTTAAACTCTGTCACCTACACGATCTCATGAGGGAATTATGCTTGTTGAAAGCCCAAGAGGAGAATTTTCTCAAGGTTGTTCGCGTTGAAGCCTTTGATAATCAACAGCTCAAGTGGGAGGACTCTGCCTCTTCATCTTCGTCGTCACCGTTGACTAAAATTCGTAGGCTTGCTGTGTACTATTTGGGTGATCATGATGCGAATAATACAAGGAAAGAAGATATTAATCTCGAAGAATTAACTAATCACCACCATCTGCGGTCATGCCAATTTTACTTCTTTGGAAAGAAATTGAAAAGTTTTGGTTGGGAACAGATAAGATCACTTCTCAAGGGCTTCAAGTTGATTAGAATTCTAGATGTCGAAAAAGTGGAAGCTGGCATAGGAGAGAAAATGTTGCCAAGAGATATAGGAAACCTGTTTCACTTGAGATATTTAAATATAAACGAGTCTCGTATTAAAAGTGTGCCTTCTTCTAGAGGCAATTTGAGATTCCTCCAAACCCTAGATCTAAGGACATATTTCGATCTAGTAGAAATACCCAATGTCCTGTGGAGGTTCGAACAATTGAGACATCTATATCTTCCTCTTGAAATCAAGCAGACTAGTAAAAGTAAGTTGCGATTGGATGGTTTGAGCAAATTGGAGACGCTAGACCGCTTTGATACAGAGAATTGTGATGTCAAATACTTTCCCAAACTAACAAATCTTTGAAAAGTGAAAGTTTTTTCGAAAACCACCAAAGACTTGGCAGTGATCCTTAAATCTCCAATCCTCCTCAACAATTTGAACAGCATTCTTCTACCATCTTTATCCTTCAGGATCGGGATTATAGGAGATTTCCTAACGGAAGAAGAACAAATCCTTTTAAGGCAACTTTTAGGATGCCACCATCTTCACAAATTGTTTTTACGTGGGTCCCTGAATCTATTTAATAAATTCCCAGACCAATTCCCTTCAAATCTCACCGATTTAACCTTGTGGGATACTAAACTAGAGGAAGACCCAATGCCAACATTGGAGAAGTTTCCCAACTTATGGACTCTCATCTTACGTAAGAATTCATACACTGGGAAAGAGATAGTTTGTTCTTCTGCCCCACCACCACCAATAAAAACAGCACCATCCAGCAGTAGTAGTGGAGGAGGAGGAGGAGGGGGCTATGGCGGCTGTGATGGTGGAGGTTTTCCAAAACTCATATCTTTACACCTCTGGAGTATTGAAATCTTGGAGGAGTGGAGGGTGGAACAAGGAGCCATGCCCTGTCTCTTCCATTTACAAATTATTGGATGCAAAAAATTGACGGAGATTCCGGACGGATTGAGGTTCATTACCACCCTCCATGAATTGGATATCAAATACGTAGCTGAAGCACTCATAGACAGGGTTAGAGAAGGAGTGAACTTCTACAAAGTCAAGCACGTGCCTTCCATCATATTAGTAGAATAAGAATTGACGACTGATCTTTCTCGGATCTTCCTACATTTACATCAAGTTGGTTGGTAGTTTCTTTCCCATCTCTTGCCTTTCTTTCTTTTTTTTTCTAGGGTTACTTATGTGTATGTCTTAATAAGTGGAGTTATTATTTAATAGGTCTTATGAAAAAAAATTGTCATAAAAAAGTCATTAATTATAAGTTTAGCGACAATTTATAAAAATATAACAAAAAAAAGTTACTAATTATCAATTTTTAGCGACATATATAAAAAATTATCACAAAAAAATTATTTTGAGCGACAATTTTACCAAGAATTATTTTCAATAGGACTTTATGGCAATTAAATCTAACTATTAGGACCTATTGGTAGTTTATTCTTTTTTTCTAAGGGTTAATTTCACTTATGTCTCTAACCTATCAACATTTTTTATTTTTTTATTTCATCTCTAAGCTATTAATTTCGTCTATTTAGTCTATTAAGTTTCTAATTTTTGTTCATGTGGTCTAATTAAAGACAATTGTAAAAATCAATAACTGTTGAAAAAAAGAGAGGTAATTTTATAATTTGAACAGTTTAAATCATACAATTAAACACCTGTTAAGTTGGTTGTAAGTTGTAATTTATCCAAAATAATAAGAAAAATTAGTATTTTGTTGTATGGTTTAAGATGTTCAAGTTCTCAAATTAATTTTTTTTAATCGAATTATGTTTTAACATTTGTTTGTTTGTATAATTGTCTCCAATTGGACAACACAAACATAAATTCAAAACTTTAGGAACTAAATAGACGAAAATGATAGATTATGAATGAAATAGAAAAAATGTAGACATTTGTGACTTCAATGATCCAAAACCATGTCAAAACAAAATTTTCTGATTATTAGTGATACTAGGTTCAAAAATTCTGACTTCTCAGTCCAATGCTTTCCTTCGCTTCTTGAAATTGAACAAACTGACTAGCAATCAATTTTTTTTTTTTTTGAATAGGTTTTTTTAATATTTTTTGACTTTTTACGAAAAGATGTATATAAAAGTATAGAAAATGATTTGACAACTTATATTGGCTTTTTAGCTAAAAATCTTACTTGCTGAACAAATATTTTAATTTTGCAAAAGAAGTATAACTACCTTTCAAATTTCATGTCAGATAATAGAGGACACATGTGCATGCATGTATATATATGCCAAGATATGCTCTCCAGTCTTATGATATTTATAGAATTGCCATTCTTGCAAATCTCAAGGCTTGTTTGCATTGGAGAAATATCGTTGTATGCAACTCACGTAGCTCGTTTTATGTTTGCATACAATACGTGGTGAAATTCTCCTATGTTGTTTGTATGTGGGATAGAATTTGTAGTAGTATCGTTTATGAATCTAATAACATGTCTTTCGCCAAGGAATGCAATTTTTTAGGCACAAATAATTAATCTTACTCCAACTTTTAAAATGACTGTAGGGGCTAAAAGAGTGGAGATTTCTGTTAAAATCCGTGCACATTTGAACTTTAAATCCCCTATTCCAGTGAATTTAGAGCAAGAAAAATATCTTATTTATAATAAAATTTACATAAATTCTACTGTAGTTAAATCCTGTTGGCCAATCCTCATTTGCTATTTGAATATATGCAAAATGAATTTCTCCTTTCTTAGCCTATTAATCATTGGATGATTAAAGTGTGAAGACAATATGATACACAATGTCTGTTGTAGTTTTGCGGGACATAGTGTCATTGGCCATAAAAAAAAGTTTTGTTCATGCCATTTTAGCCATTTCCACCAAATCCTCAAAATTTCACTTAGCTCAGCTTTCTCATAAAGACTCTAGAAACATGATTTGAATGTTTGGTCGTTTGCATATCATATAGTTATATACTTCCCTATGTATCTATTAAACTGATCTATGAGAATACATGATGATTTAGTTGATCAGTTGTGGTCAATCCTTTGGAACATTACGGCCTAGCATACGCAATGCTATGAATTGAAATGGCATACACAATGCATAATGGACTTACACCAACATGAATGGACCTCAGCCACACTCACATAAGAGGCCATAAGATGAAAAATGAGACAACTCGAGATGCGCGCACGCATGCACGCAAACCGAGGACCGACCCTAAGGCACCAAATTCCACTCTAACATGACATGGCAAGGCATGGAATATGACATATGAGCATGCAAGTTTCAGCACTGAAATACGATGCAAAATGATCCCGAAACATGGAAACATGGCCCTCGATGCATGGAATGGGACCCGAAACATGAATTTAGGCACATGGAATGACCTATGGCTATGCAAAGCATGCATTATTTAAACATGAAGTGTGAAGACAAAATCAAGACAGTCCCAAAACAAGCATATTTACAGTTTTAAGCAAGGCCAAAAAGTGAACACAAATAAGGCTAAGTTAACATGCAAAAATGGCCTCAAAAGAGAGATAATGAAGCAAGCAGCAGCTTCTGGCCCTAAATGGCCAAGATCTCTTCAACAAAGTTAAAGAGGGTCTCAAAACATGGTATTTTAAAATTTACAACAAGCCACGAAAACAAGCACAAGTATGGCTAAACTATTGTGTAAGAAATGGGCCAAAAGGGAGACAAAGAAGCAAGTGATGGTTTCTGGCCTCAAACAGAGGAGGGCCCTTCAACAAAGTTGAAGAGGGGCCCAAAACATAATATTTCATAGTTAGTGACCAAACCCAAAACAGTGCACATGCAAGCCTAAAATATTATGCAAAATAAGGCCTAAAAAGAGGCTTAAATACAAAATGTAAAAGGGAAGCCTCAAACATCAAAAGTCCCTTGATAAAACATGAATAGGGGGTCAAAATAAGGCCATTTAAAGTTCTGACCAGAGCCCAAAAATACAAGCACAAGGGGCTAACAAGTCATGCAAAAATAAGGCCAAAAGAGGGATATAAAGGCAAGTGGCAAATGGAAGCCTCAAAAAGTGATGAGCCCTTCAACAATGTTGAAGAAGGGCTCAAAATAATCCACTTTATAGTTTATGACAGAGCTCAAAACAATTTACACGTAGGCCAAAAATATTACACAAGAAATGGGCATACAAGAGAGGTAAAGAAGCAAGTGCAAAAAAGAAGTCTCAAACAGTGAGGGGCCCTTAAACAAACATGAAAAAGAGCTCAAAATAATGCTATTTTCAGTTAGGGTCGGAGCCCGAAAATGCAAGAAAGTATGGCTAATGTATTGAGCAAAGTAGGGCAAGAAAAAGGGATGAGAGGACTTACCCTTGAAGACCAAGTCTTTGGCAACTCTTGGACCAATTTTGGTGGCTCCTTAGCTCTGGAAAGCAGCTCCAAGTGGCTGGAATAGATGGTGGTGGTGTGGTGCTAGGTGGTGGTGTAGAAAAGGAGTGTAGGACTTGAGAGGTTTGGAGCTTGGAATAGAGAGGGAGAGGGATTGAATGCAAGAGGCTTAGAGCAATTTTGTCACCCTTCAAAATGCAGCTGGAGGGCCTGATATATAGGCAAAAGAGGGGGGAAAAAAGGGGAAAAAAAGGGGTGGAAAACAATTCAAGTTTCCCCCCAAAAGTGCAGCCCCCCGGATACAAAATCTGGGAGGAAACAAAATGCATATCTGTAATGTACCTGGAGAGAGGATCATGGCCGGCTGGTTATCTAAGTTGCAGGTGGCCGGTCGGCTACTTCCCATGGCCGGTCGGCCAAGGGTCAAAAGGGTCAATGAGGATTAATGGCCGGCCATGCCAAAAAGAGAGCCTCTGATGTGTGCACAACACAATCATGTGGTTAAAAACTAGAAACAATGAACCAGGAGAGAGAAAAGGCCACTTTTAGGAGGGGTTCAAAAGGGTCACCTACAATTACTGGCCGGCCATGTGATATTTGTGGCCTCCCAGGTGCCTACAACACAAATATGTGGTTTGGAGCAAGAAAAAATGGCCTTATGGTGGTCAACATTGGCTTTCAAGTGAGAAAAACGGGCGACGGAGGAATAAAACTGGTTGTCAAAATAATTACTGGCCTCCCACCCTTCTACGACCTTTCTAACAATGAAACAGAGGTTCCTGCCAAAAATGAACTCAAACCGATGCAAAATGAAGGTTCGGGGGCCGAAACACGCAGCCCGAGGTCCCGAAAACTGACTGTTAGGCACCGGAAGTGGTGTTCGACCACGAAGTTGGTCTCTCGGACCGCAGTGTCCCTCAAAAGGGAGTAAATAATATGCATGCCAAAAATTGGAGCAAACAGAGGTGGTTAAGCAGTCCCGAATAGAGGCACACGGCCAACGGCTCCGAAAAATCGGAAACCAGACTCCAAACGGGCAAAAATGGCCTACGACCATGAAACGTAGCCTACGGCCACTGAGAGATGATCTACGAGACCTCTCCCTCCCTTCGGGAAGAGAAAACAGAGAAAACCAAGCCTGGTTCGCAAACCGAGGCAAGGTATGAAAGAGTCCGAAAGTCCGAAGGCAAGGCTCGCAACCAAGACTCCGCGACTTCTGAACGAGCATAATATGCAACATCACCAAGCGCTCAATCAGTGACGTCTGAGTCTTAACGTCGGTCAAAAATGGGATGTCTACAGGCGGTATTGGGAAGACCACCCTTGCTAAGAAAGTTTACCATCACAATGATGTCAGGTGTCATTTTGATTGTTTTGCCTGGGCTTTTATATCTCAACAATGTAATGTTAGAGAAGTTTTGGAAGAGATTCTAATCGGGCTTACCTCCCCGTCCCTCGATGAGAGGAAAAAAATCAAAATAATGAAACATGGTGAGCTAGTTCAGGAACTTTTTCAAGTCCGAAGTCAGAAGAAATGTTTGGTGGTTATCGATGACATTTGGAAGGCTCAAGATTGCGAAATTTTGAGTCCGACCTTCTCGAATAAAAAAAATGCAAGTAGCAAAATACTGCTAACTACTTGCATAAAAGAAGTTGCTTCAAACGCTAATCAACTACGTGAACTGAGGACTTTAACGGAAAATGAGAGTTGGGAACTATTTGGAAAGAAAGCATTCTTGAGGAGAAATGTTACAGGTAATTATTAACATCATCCACCCACAGAATGAAAGTAAGGCTAAAATTTTTAAATTTCAAATTGAGATATTTCGTTCGTTTGTCTGTCTTGTCTTTTGATTATGATAATCTAACACATTTAGCTTTTTAAGAAGTGGTAATTTTTCTCCAAGTTGTGATAAAGAAGGCATAAAATTAACAAGGCTGCTATATGTTACCTGAATATTTTATCAGATTTTTTTATTGCTTATATGACTTCTCACTTGACATGATAAGTTACACCAATTCATATACTCATGAGCTTATATTTTATTTTTGTAATCCTTAAATAGGTTTGAAATTAAATATATTTTAGGAATTTAATAAATTCAATTGATAATTTAGGTACTAAATAGACTTAACTTATATATACTTTAGGGAGTTAGTAGACTCAATCGATAATTCATAGACTAAATAGACAATTTAGCGATAGTTTAAGAATATAAAGTGTAATAAATCCTTTTTGGATTTAAAGAAAACTATACAACTTTATTAATTATAGTATTTTAACTGAAAATTACTGTTTCATTAATTTACAAAAGAGTTTTAAAAAAATCCAATTTAATTTAATTCAATGAATTTAATTTAGCAACATCATTACTTTCTAGGGAGAGATTATAATGCATACTTGCACACTATAGGGAAAAATAGATTTTTTGTGGGAGAAGTTATACATTTTGTGAGATGAAAGTTACGATTTTTGTGATGAAAGTTATGAATTTTGAAATTATAATATGCACCTAAAAGTCATGTATAACTAAAATTATACTTTTTATGAGAGAAGTTATACATTTTGTGCAAAAACAAAAAGTTATATTTTTTGTAACAAAAGTTATACATTTTGTGATAGAAATTATACTTTTTACATAAGGTTCATATGATGTGCAAAGCATTCTCCTATTTGGGAACTTAGATATGAGAATTCTTATTCAAAACAAACTGTTAACAAAAATTTGGTTTGGGTCAAATCGACAGCGAAGATTAGATGGAGAAACCAAAATTTCACAAACAACAAACAGATCAAGCAATTGTGATTGGTGTCCTCTGACTTGATAGATTAAATGACTTCTTTGGAGATTATTGACAAAGAGAAACAAACTAAAAATTGATATTATATTGCTAAAGTTGTTACTTGTTACAAAGATTTGAGCAAGAACAAAAATAAAAATATCAAAGAACTAGAAAAAAAGTTCACTGATTACAAGAACCAGAAAATCATTACAAAATCACTAAATTAAGACTACTCCTAGAGAAAATAAACTACTCCTATGATATGTACAGTAATCTACTCCTAAACAAAAAAACTCTGATGAGTTTGATGTTTTTTTTTTATGTCCTTCTTGCTTCCTCCTTGAGCCTATTTATAGGATTTTGTCTACAATTTCAATTGCTCAACAACTGTTATAGGCAATTTCTTTACCCATTTAAGTCCATGTGTTCCCATCTTTTTAGCCACTTTCCTTTGTTCTTTCAAAGATTATTTCCTTCTTTCTAGCCATTTCCTTAACCGCTCATAACTGTCCATAATTACTTCCAACTCTCTTTTCTGCCCAACACACTTCAACTTGGAACCCAAGACTTCCCAAGATTACCACCAAACTTCTGTCGACACACAACTTTAGAAAATAGATACAAACAACTTGCATTACAATAAAATAAATAGTAATAATAAATGCTGTCAAAGTTACTCTAAAAAAATGATTTATAGTCTGAACCGATAGACCAAAATTGATGAGCTACAATCAATAAGACTAAAATTTTGGCCACTATCGACAGAAAATTAATTTATGGTGTCAACACAAACAAAAAATATTTAACCATCTTCAGTAACTCTACCTTTTAAAATACTATTTTCCAAATAGATAGATGCATATTATTTTTCAAGGTAGATAAAATCATGTTTATTGAATTAGTACTTAATTGGACATAGGTCTTAAACGTTTCATTTATTAATCTAAAGAAAAGTTTACAGGACTTGTTAGTATTTCTAGAGAAAAGATAAGTCGATAAAGTATAAAAATTTGTAGGCAAATTATACTGGAGGTCCCTATATTTTAGCTCTTGTGTTATTTTGATCCCTACACTTTCAATTGACTCTATTTTGATATTTAATTATAGATTTTGTTTCAATTTGGTTCAATTAATAATATTAGTATTTTTTAAGAAAAATTATCACTAAATTAGTTGAGATTAACTAATTGAGTTAAGTAAGTTTATAATTTTACCCTTAAAAATATGGCACATGACGCTTATGTGTGTATTTTTTTTACAAAAATGCTAAGAGTTGTAATCAATTGGATCAAATTGAGACAAAATTATAAATTCAAGGGTAAAATTGAGCTAATTAAAAGTACATGAACTAAAATGACACATGGGAGAAAGTACAGGAACTATCTTGTAATTTGGCCAAAATTTGGAGGTGGCTAATTTTGGGCTCAGGAGTAACTTGTATCACCCAATTATCCATGCTACATTCGTTTCTATTTTATATCAATAATTAACATATTAGGTTATTTTTTACTCTTAATTCAAAAATTTAATGATAGATGACTCTCACTTTTTTGTGTGTGTTTGTATCATTTAATTTTACAGAATTTGAGTCGAGCACTGAAATGATGGAGTTAGGGAAGGAAATGGTGAAGCACTGTGGGGGTCTATAGTTGGCCATTGTGGTATTAGGAGGACTTCTAGCAAACAAACACAAGATGGAGGAGTGGAAAGAGGTGAGTAAAAACATCCGTCATTACTTAAACAAGAAGGGTAAAGGCAGCCATGGAGGAGTTCCAGTATCAGACATTTTAGCTTTAAGTTACCAAGACTTGCCGTACCATCTAAAGGCATGCTTTTTGTATTTGAGTCATTTTCCTGAAGATTATGATATACGTGCAGAAAAATTAGTTCAAATGTGGATGGCTGAAGGCATTGTGTCATCATCAGTACCACCAGCACAAGTAGGAGAAATGGAGGTAGAAAAGACAACGTTGGATGTTGGAATGAGTTATTTAAGTGAGCTAGTACAAAGATGCATGGTTCAAATCGAATTAAATGGGTTCAACAGAAGGATTAGAGTTTGTCGCCTCCACGATCTCATGCGGGACTTATGCTTGTTGAAAACTCAAGAGGAGAATTTTCTAAAGGTTGTTCGCGTTGAAGCCTTTGATAATCAACAGCTCAAATGGGAGAACTCTGCCTCATCATCTTCATCGTCACCGTTGACTACAATTCGTAGGCTTGTTGTGTACTATTTGGGTGATCATGATGATGAGAACAATATAAGGCGAGAATATGTTGATCTCCACGAATTATCTAATCACGACCAACTCCGGTCATGCAAATTTTACAGCTTTGGAAACAATTTGAAAAGTTCTAATTGGGAACAGATAATATCACTTCTCAAGGGCTTCAAGTTGCTTAGAATTTTAGATGTTGAAAGAATGGATATCAAAGGGGAGAATGGGATGTTGCCGAGAGACATAGGAAACCTATTTCACTTGAGATATTTAAATATAAAAGATTCTAATATTACAAGTGTGCCTTCTTCTATAGGCAACTTGAGATTCCTCCAAACCCTAGATCTAAGGACATATGCAAATCTAGAAATACCCAATGTCCTGTGGAGGTTGGAACAATTGAGACATCTATATCTTCCTGAACGAATCGAGCTGACTGGTACAAGTAAGTTGCGATTGGATGGTTTGAGCAAATTGGAGACACTAGAAGCCTTTGATACAAAGTATTGTGATGTTAGATACTTTCCCAAACTGACAAATCTTCGAAAAGTTGAAGTTGGTTGGGTAGCCCCCGTAGACTTGGCAGTGATCCTTAAATCTCCAACCTCCTCAACAATTCAAACTTCTCGATTAGAGGAGATTTCCGAACGGAAGAAGAGCAAAGCCTTTTAAGGCAACTTTTAGGATGCCACCATCTTCACAAATTGCATTTATGTGGGTCCTTGAATATGGTTAAGAAATTGCCAGACCAATTCCCCCCAAATCTCACCAAGTTAACCTTGTACTTTACTGAACTAGAGGAAGACCCAATGCCAACATTGGAGAAGTTGCCCAACTTAAGGACTCTCATCTTAGATTTTAATTCTTACATTGGGAAGGAGATGGTTTGTTCTTCTGCACCACCACTAACAATAACAACAGCGCCATCCAGCAGCAGTAGTGGAGGAGGAGGGGGCTATGGCGGCTGTGATGGCGGAGGTTTTCCTAAACTCAAATCATTAGAGCTCAGGCAAATTGAAAACTTGGAGGAGTGGAGGGTGGAACAGGGAGCCATGCCCTGTCTCTTCCGTTTACAAATTAGCTATTGTGAAAAATTGAAGGAGATTCCAGACGGATTGAGGTTCATTACCACCCTCCATGAATTGTATATTAAATACGCATCTAAAGCACTCAGAGACAGGGTTAGAGAAGGAGGAGAGGACTTCTACAAAGTTCACCACGTGTCTTCCATCATATTATAATAATCGAGTGACTGAGCCCTATTGGATCTTACTCTACATTTACAACAGGTTGGTTGGTTGTCCCATGTTTGCTTTCTTTCCCCTCTCTTTCATTTCCTTTCCTTTTTTTTTTTAAGGGTTAATTTCACTTTTATCTCTAAACTATCAACATATTTTATTTTATTTCATCTTTAAGCTATCAATTTTGTGTATTTAATCCATTAAATTTCTAATTTTTATTCATGTGGTCCAATTAGAGACGATTGTAAAAATCAATAACTGTTGAAAAAAGAAGAAGAAGAAGAGGTAATTTTATAATTTCAACAACTTAAATCATACAATTAAACACCCATTA